AACTTAGACAGCAGGAACATTTCCAACCAGATTGATTGACATATTTTATTTCTAACTTAAGCTTAATCATGACCAAGAATGATTCACTTATACCTTTCAAACTTTAGGAACTGACACAGGAGACAACCAAGCTGCAGCCTCCAGTGTAAGCAATCACGTAAAGGAAAAAAATATATTAACATAGTTTATTAGCCTACTTAGCTGCTGCAGTTGATGTAATAAAAGGAATTAATTAGCTGGTAAGGGAGTTACTTTATTTTATAAAATAAATGTCAAACCAGATTTTTTTTGCAGGAAAGGTTTTGTCCTAAATCACTCCTCCACTAAACGCTTCTCTGAAGCCCTGCACAGAATCTAGAGAAGGTACCGTAAGGTGCGGTTTGGTTTTTTTTTTTTATAAACCAGTTGGACGAGAGCTCATCTCCCAGCAATAACCACACTGACTCTGAAACTGAGAGAGTTCTCAGCTCTTAAGGCATAAAGTACCTTCAAATAAATATCAGCGGTTTCCACGCGCCATGCCTTAAACAGGAACAAAGCCTAATAGAATAGACTGTAATAAAAGTGCTATTTCCAGCATGCGTGTATGTGGCTGCTCTACGCTGAAAATGTCCTTTAGCACTTTTTAACCATATTCTCTAGTGTGTCAGCAAAGAGACTCCATCAGAGTATTTAACATTGCTGGGAGCAAAGGAATAAAGTGGAGTCACTGTTGATTATTACTCATTAGCCACAAGGACATCCACTTAACATGTGAATAAATGAATGACACCATGTCCTAATGGAAATGGCCTCAGTGTACCTTTAAGCAAAATGTTGTTTAATATCTTCCATTTGCTGAATAGCAAAGAGGCCTGTTGGACATGCACAGTTAGCAAGCAGCCATTGTTGCTTTGTTCCAATTTCAGCATTTAATAAAAAAAGATGTTGTCTTGACTGCAGCAAAGATGGGCCTCAAAACCCCGGGTGGCAGCACAGCCTCAGCCTCGTTCTGCAAATTCAGAATTGCACTGGCATCCCGAAGGGTTAATACCCATAAAGCAAATGAAGCCTTAGAAGGTACATGTTCTTCATTATTCTGCTTTACATTCAAACATATAAAACAAAGAACATCTGATATCTTTATTGGTTTTCTTAGATAAAGAGCAAGCAAGCTATAAGCCTTAATTTTCTTATTACCATTTGTTAACAAGGAAGATAACACTCTCAAAAGTACTTGATTAGGGCTCCCTTTGATTTGTATCTTGTTATGATTTCCAGGGCATATATTTTTGTATTACTACTTCAGTACACTGATGGTTCCGATCAAAGTGATAAAAAGAGGTATTTTAAAAGTGTAAATATTAACCATACAGGTAAACCACATAATCTGAACAGCATCTCGAACGCTGCCGTGCTGAAGCATGCTTTGGGAAATGAGTCGGAGCTGCGATACACGTTGCTATCTGGAAAACAGGTAGGCTGGGCTGGAGGAGCCCTTTTGCCCTCAAACCCTCACGGGGTAACTCACATCGTTCACAACTTTTTTCTTTCCTTTTTTTACTGTATAGCTACTGAGGACAGCTGCAGGTATGATATCAAAGATGTTTGCTATATCATGTATCTAAATACTTGTGATGAGAATCCATACAGAACACATCTGTTCTTAGAGGGATACACTATATATACACTATATATACCAGCTTTAACTATTTAAGGAAAATAACAGCAAGCATATTAGCTAACGTGAAAGACTGGGGGGGGGGGGGGGGGGTTTTTTACACCCGTCTGCCTACGTAACAGTTAGCTGTGCTGGAGGCCGCTCGCTGGTATTTCTCAGCTCATGGGGCTTTCTCCTGTCTGATCCCCGGGCTGTGATGGGCACTTTGGCTGCGGTGAATGGGAAGCCTGACAGGGCCCGCGACACCCAGCAAGCTGCTCCACGCAGAAGTGGGTCTGACAAGTTGGAAGTCTCTTTCTCCTGCCTCCTCCTCCTCCTCCTCCTCGCCGGCGCTTCCTCCGGCCGGCCCTGCGCAGGCAGGGAGGGAGCGGGTGATGATTACATCAATCAGTGTCAGGTCTGGGAGCTGTGATTTATGAATATGCATAATGAGCTCTCACCTTTGAGAAGGACTAGCTAGGGAGATAATTGATTAGACAGGAAAAGAGCAGCCAACAGAGAGGGAGAGGGAGAGGGAGAGGGAGAGGGAGGAGAGGGAGAGGGAGGCCTCTCTGCGCCGTCTCCGGCAGGCCTGGCTGGGGCTCCAGTGAGGCTGTCAAGCTGTGAGAGTGATTTCTAAAAAAAAAAAAAAACAACCAAAAAACCAAAAAAACATGAGTAGGATTTTTAATGTTTTGTTGAAACATGCATAACAAAATGTTTCCTCACAAAATTAATGGGAATTCTCTCCACATTAGGGAAGCCAGGCAGGCACAAAGGCTGCTTTCCCCCTGCAGGGAAACCAAGTTCTCACTTTGCGAAGCCAAAGGGGCGGCTTTCCCATGGCTGCCACGCAGCCACCACAGGAACATCCCTGCCGGTCAGGGTGAAGGGAGAGGGCTCTGCGGGGACGGGGAGCCGAGGGGCTCTGCTGCAGCAGCAAAGGAGCCTTTAATGGAGGTGGAAAGCTGGGGATGCAATTGTTTTCCCATCGTGGTCTCATTATTTTCTTCCATCCCTTTTAAGCATCTGTCTGGCCACTGTGTGAAAGTTTCTATGGAAAACCCACCAGGATGTCCAGAGGAAGGGGATGTGGAAATTTGCCTCTAGCTTACTCTCCCCCCACTCCCCGCCCCACTTTACATGCCATTAATCTTTTTTTTTTCTTTTTTTTTTTTTTTTCCTTTTTCCCTCAGCAAGAATTGGCTAAGCAGGGATACAAAGTGCAGAGAGACCGGGTAAAATTTACATGAGAAACAATCCGTTTTCTAACCACCCACCCACAGAGTTTCCCCTCGTTTCAGGAGCCTGCCGGAGCGCAAGAGGGGGAACAGTTCCTGGCAGACAGACAGAGCTGCCAGGGCTGCGAGGAGGCAAACACTGTTTCCAGGGCGAGCTGCGGCCAGGGAGGACGGATGTGCAAAGGAAGGGGACGCGGCGGGGAGAAAGCAGAGATCGCAAGGCTGCCGCAAACTCTGCGGGTCCCTTCCCTGGCCTCCCTGGAGGCCCAGGGCCGGCTCGGCTGCAGCCATGGCCACCAGCAGCCCGGAGAGGCTGCAGGTGTGCACCAGGCGAGGGGTGTCCCCACCGTCATGCCTGCCAGCAAGAATATTAATGGTGAAATATTACAACAGGTATATAAAATGTGTGTAGAGACACACCTCCGTATATATAGTGTAAACGCGTGTATAAATCTTACCACTTACAAATGCCTAGGATTTAAAATGTAGTTTATCGGCCTAGTGCAACCCAATCCTATAAATAATACATTCCTATCACTATGACCTCAAAATGTCAATAGCGCGCAGCCCTGCGCATTTGCATATCTTGTACTGTCTAAACTTGAAGCATGTCAGCTATGTGCTTCTGTTTGTACTTTAACTTCATTTTAACTCTTGCTTCCTAGCTCCGAGCACCCTCCCCCTCCGCAGGGTCTGTCACCAAAACGAGAAAAGCACCAGCTATTTAATCACCGCCCCCGTAATTATGCCATTTCCAGGAGTGTTAGGAGAGAAAGGGTGGGGGGCAAACACCCCCCC